GCTTATGTTTTACTATGAACCAGTAAGTTATGATGTTTATGTTGAATCCTTTAGGATATTGATGGAGATTTACAGATGTTTGCATTTCTTTTTGCAGTTATCCAGCCGCAGAAACATGCTTCTGGATTGTAAAACCAATCTCTGATGTTTTAATAAGACAATAAAAGATCTTTATTGATTTGGGACTTGTTTCTAATCCTTTCAAACCACTTGGCAAGTACACAGCTTGATGAATAATCTTGTGTGCTTGAGTTGCAGTTTGTTTTTTGTGTTGTTTTGTTTTGTTTTTTGGTACCAGGGATTGAACTCATGACCCTCAACGCTTGCTAGGCAAGTGCTTATACCACTGAGCTAAATCTCTGGCCTCAATCTTATGTGCTTGAAAGAACAGGAGTATCCTTGCTTCTTCATGGTAACAACTGTCTTGCACGTGGTTCTGGAAGGGATAGCAAGAAGATTTCAGGCAAGAGGAATATGGTGCCAGTAACAGGCAACAACAGCTGTAAAACTGGGGCGATCTCAACATTAGGTGAGACAGGCATGTCCTAGTCACTTGTGAAAACAGCCAAGAAGTAGGACAGTGTCACAGCCTCAATTTGGGCCGGACAGTGCAATAAACTTTAGCTTATGATGAACACACGGCTGTTCATTCTAAAATAAAGCTCTTGGGCCAGGGATTTAGCTCACCTGCCAGGCAAGTGTGAGTTGTAAGTTTGATCGCTGGTATAAAAAAAAAAAAAACCTGCTAAGATCAAGATCTCTTGTCTTATGCCTCAGCCATTAGGTTCCATGTCCTTTAAGGTTGGCATGGTGATTGCCCAGAGCCCTCTGGTATCACATTGATACTGCATAAATTCCATCAGGAATGTGCAGTGGATAGTCGTTACTTTGTTCTGAGATTAAGGAGATAGCAGTGGCACAAGTGCCTGCCTGGCAAGCACAAAGTCCCAGGTTCAATTCCTGTACCAAAAAAAGGAGGTGACTGAGAAATTGGCTCTTAGCTTGATTTGGGTGCACTAACTGGCTATATCAAAACTGATGGATTTAATAAATTCTTTGAAATAAGGATTGGGGTTTTGGTAGGCTTCAAATATAGGTGCTGGGTGAGATAACTTTTCTTTTGTAGTGTTGGCAAATGAACCCAAAGCCTAACAAATGGTAGGCAATCGTACCACTGACTGCCCTTGTATAGCTTTTAATTGACTGACTGTTATTCCCTTAACCAGAATGCTTTTTGTGAAATAGATCATGACCACTGTGCTCCTAAAACTGCTTATGACCTTTATGTTCCCCAGTACTGCACACTGTCTTAAGGCTACTGGCTGTCTTCCCTTTGGAAGGTTTGCTTTTTAGTACTGGGGATTGAGCTCACAACCTTATACTTGCTAGGTAGGCGTTTATGCTGCTGAGTTAAATCCCTGGCCTGGAAGGCTTTGTGAATTGTGACTGATGGTTAGAACTAGGTTCAGGCCCCAGCACAGCATATTGAAAAACAGTGGTCTGGGACTGAGGATTTGGCTCAGTGGCATAAGCACCTGCCTTGCAAGTAGGCGGTCGTGAGTTCGATCCCCAGTACTGATAAAAAGAAAAAAAAAAAGAAAAACAGTGGTCACTCTATTAAAAAGAATGCCATTCACTCTTTGCCCCTCCCATCTTTTTAACCTCTTACACTTGGCTCTTCCTTTTTTTTTTTTTTTTTTTGTCTTTTTCATTTTTTTATCGGTACTGGGGATCAAACTCACGACCGCCTGTTTGCAAGGCAGGTGCTTATGCCGCTGAGCTAAATCCCCAGCCCCTTGGCTCTTTCTTTTTAGGCTGGCTTTTTAATTTTTTTTTTTTTCCATCTTTTTGAGATGGTATTGCTATGTAGTTCAGGCTGATCTCAAGCTCACTTTGTAACCCAGGCTACAATCCTGCACTCATTCTCCTGATTGCTAGGATTACAGGTGTGTACCACCACACCCAATGTAAGCTGGTTTTGAGGTAACTATAGCTCAGGCTGACCTTGAACAAGTTGCAGTCCTTCCCGCCTCAGCCTTCCATATGCTCCATCGCCAGCCTGGCAGCTGTCCATAGCATTTAAAATGTTTATGATTGCTCTTCCATCAGTTGTGTGCTGCTGGAATGTAACAGATTGATTCTGTGTGCACTGAGACACTGCAGGTATCTAGGCATGTGCTTCTGAAGGAATGGCACTAAGATTGTACAGATTCAGTAATACTGATGTAGAAAGAGTTGAGAATTCAAAATGATTGGAAAACTGACAAAAAGTCATATATAGGACACAGTTTTAATACTGAGACTGTTGGTGAGCAGCAGTCTGCTGTGGGAGGAAGCTTGCCCCAAGAATGGACTGGTTAGTAAGCCATGAGGCTTCACTGGTAATCTTTTTGGTACCAGGGATTGAACTCACAACCTCATGCTTGCTTGGCAAGCACTTAAACCACTGAGCTAAATCCCCCAACTACTGGTAGATTTTGAGGGCTGCTTTTAGCTAAGATGTGCTTGCCATATAACTTGGGTGTTGTAGGCTGGGTGTGGTGGTACGTGTCTGTAATGCCAGCACGCAGAAAGATCACCGTGAATTAGAGGATAGCCTGGGCTACATGGTGAGTTTGAGGCTGTCCTTAATTACAAAGCAAGGCCATCTCCAAAATAAATCTTTGGGTGTTGTGGATCTATTCTCTGGGGAAGGTTTTTTTTTTTCCATGCTCAGGTTCACGATCAAGAAAGGGTTGTGGTCTTTCCCCGGCTTTTCAGTGTAGGTGTCCACATCTTGTGAATGAGAGTACCACAGAAGACACTGGGTCTACCCATCACACTGCTGGATGACGAAGATGCCTCACAGGGGCAGGGCCTTGGATAATGCCAGGCCCAGGCATGTACCAAAGTCTTGGCAGTCAACCAGATTCTGAGTTGATTATATTAATATAATCAGAAACCAGTTAAAAATTAGACATTAATGCAGACTCATTTTCCAGAGGTGGAAGACCAGTTGTGACACTGACCTGTGTCAGATTTAGTGAGAGATGTATTAAAAGGTTTGAGGTGATTTTTGTGTGTGTTTAGGGGTGTCAGAAAGGATCTGAAATTAGTTTGTTTCTGGTAAGCACTGTCAATTTCCAGTTGGCCCTTGACAGTTTCATTTGAATTTTTATAAGCCTGAATATTTTAGTAAGTACAATAAGGGGCCAGATTAATAATTTAGCTAAGGATTGTCATGTGACTAAGGCTTAGGAACTAATAGAGAAATCCCCAAGTGGCAGGAGTGGAGGACTTGGTGCTTTTTTGCTAGGTGCTTTTCTGTTTTGGGTAGTGAATGGCAAGACATTGTGTTGGGGAAGGGGAAGCGTGATTTAAACTTGTCTCATTCTTTCTCATTTTTCCCCAATTGGGTGTAGAGCGGTCCATCTGTATCTCCAACCCTTTTTGAGTTAGAGCCTGGCTGAGTTGGCTGGGGCTGACCTTGGACATGATCCTGCTTTAGCCTCTTGAACAGCTGGAGTTACAGGTACAGTACATGCCCCCTGGTCAGCCTCATGGACGTGTTCAGAAATCGTGAAGTCAGGGTATGAGTGGTGGTACAGTGTGTATGAGTTGGTGGTAAAGCCCTTGCCTAGCATGCTCAAATCTAGATTCAGGCCCCAGCATAGCATATTGAAAAACAGTGATCAGTGCAGTTGTAAACTCTTAAGATACTTTAAGACCTTGCTATTAAAAGGTGATAAATTGAAAAGCAGTTAAGATTTAAAAGTTTTCACTGAAGCTCTTAGGTCAGTGAATCTGGCACAAAGGGAAAAGAAAGAACCAAGTGATTCTTTTAGATGGTGTCGCTTTTCTGCACAGCCCATAAAACCAGTTGCAGTGTATAACCATAGAGTTGAGTTCTCACAGAATAGTTTTTCAAAGCATACTTTAAAATTGCTAGGGCTTCAGGAGGGAGTGTAAATATAGTCTAATAATAGGGTGGAATATAATTAAAACGAATTTTGGAGTCTTTTCCTATTAAGTGTAAGGAACAATTTTTTTTTTTTTTTTTTTTTTTTTTATTGGTACCAGGGATCGAACTCACGACTGCCTGCTTGCAAGGCAGACGCTTATGCCGCTGAGCTAAATCCCCAGCCCCAAGAGGAACAATTTTTAACTTTTTTTTTTTTTTTTTTTTTTTTTTTTTTGCTTTTGTTGAGACACAGTCTAATCATGTAGTTTAGCCTGGTCTTAGGTAGCCCAGATTGTTCTAGAACTTGGCAGTGATCCTCCTGCCTCAGGATTTTTAGGCATGTGCCACCATGCCTAACTCCTTTAAAAGTTTAAAATTTCCAGAGTGAGTGGATAGGATACTTCAGTATGTATAAATGTGTGGTTAAACATTAGTTAACCAGAAGGAAGAATAGATACAAATGGGTATATAGGCAAGTTTTGTATCTCCAGTGTAAAACTAATATGAATTAGTCTTGTAAGTATAGTTCATTTTGTTGTTTTTGCTGTGTCGCTCATGCTGACCTTGAACTCACAGCGTAGTCCAGGCTGACTTTGAACTCGGCAGTCCTCTTGTTGTATCCCTGAATGCTGGGATTACCAGTGTGCACCACCACGCCCAGACCATTTTAAAACATTAGACTATTCAAGTTGAGATTAACTCTAGTTTTAAAGGGTCCCATATTCTATGTTGGTCTCTGGAGTTCCTAGGTCCAGATGTGGCTCCATTCTGCATTCAAGAGCTGCCTGTATTCATGTGAAAAACAATGAAGCTCTTCAGGGGAAAGAGGAGTTCTTGTGGAATAATAGCACAGTCCTGTGACGACTACTGGTGAGCAGTAAAACTTGGAACTTCTTAGATTTCCTAGACCTACCAAGTCACAGGAATTGGGAAGAGGAAGGAAGCCAGTTAAGGGGAACCCACTGTGCTGTGAGGCCAAGCAGCATGCCTGTCTTCACACAGTTGGCTCATGTTCTCCCTCTTAGTCCTGGCCTCTTTCCACAAAGATAAGTTGTGGGAGTTGTTATTTTTTATTTTGTTTTATTTTTTGGTATCAAGAATTGAACTCAGGACCTTGTGCTTTGCTGCTAAGCTATATCCCTGACCCAAGAGTTGCATTTAAAAACAAAACAAAACAAAAAAAAGAAAATCTAACAAGAGAAAGCTCACAACAGAGATGTCTTAGGAATGCTTTCTGATTCTTTGTGGGAGGAGGGATGATGTGTTTTAGAACCTTCCGTAACTAGCCAACAATCGTTGCTTACTGTAGTGTGGTTTTGCTTTCCAACTGAGGGTCGCCTTGACCTAGAAATACCTCGCCAGAAGTCACAGACATCTCTGCAGAGGTGCCTAAACAAGACAGATTTTCACTTTTTAAAAAGAATTCTTTGCCACAAGTAGCTATTGCTACTTGGGGAAGAAGTCCAGAAAGAAAGGATAGGAGACAGTTCATCACATTTCATGAAGCCTGCAGATCAGGGAGCCCTCGAATCTGAGTTAGGGCAAAGTCTTACTCAGCTGCAAAAATGGAACACGCTGCTGTCCACACCTGAGGGGAAGTTCATTCCAACCTCACGCAGAGAGAGACAAGTGTTACCACCGTGGTTACTACCAGGGGGTCCAGGTGCCTTCTCTAGTACACGTCCGGTTCTGTAAGTTCACAGTGCATGGGACTGGAGTGCCTTCCTAAGCTATCAGGACAGAAGTGAGATGAGTTTAGCCAGGAACTCTCTTGTGGCCTTTCTGTAATGGTATGTTTTGTAAGTTCTTTGCTTTCCAGAATTTTCTTCTCCTTTGCTGGTGAAAAATGATGATTGCTAATAGCAGAACTAGGGTGGAGAACAAGCAACAGCCAAAGAATATCAGCGGCTTTTTCTGCTGGAGCAGCGGGCAGATGGTGCACTCTCTGTCCTCTTGCGCCTGGCTGCATGCAGGGCTGCTGTCCTCGGAGGGGAAGCCACCGCTGTTGATCAGTGTGTTATAAAATTTTACTGAAGATTTGGCTTTGAAATCGGATGTGAAGAATCCAAATCTGGGTTTAGATTTTTCTTCAGTCAGTTTGAACGCATAGTAGCCTCTGACTTTGACTTTGTCGATCAGGTATGCTGAAAAACAAAGGTAGACATCATGACTCCAGTGACGGGGAAGTGCCGAGGGTAGGAGTTTAGTGATCAGCGAGACAGGCTCCATGAGAGACACACTCCCATTAGCGGTTTCTATGGCCCATGGAAAGGGTAAAAAATGCATATGTTAAAAAAAAATTAAAAAAATTTTTTTAATAAAAAAAATAAAATTTTGATCCATAGTAATCCTGAAACACTTGGTGGAAAAGCAAATTTAAGAAGCAGAACCCTAGGGCTGGGAATTTAGCTCAGTGGCGTAAGCGCCTGCCTTGCAAGCGTGCAGTCATGAGTTCAATCCCTGGTACCGATGATAAAGAAAAAGAAGCAGAACCCCGAGGTAAAGTGTGTAGCACATTTGTGCAGCAGGTGGCCAGCAGAAAAGTCTGGCTTCTGTCCTGGTCTCCCCTCCTCTCCCAGTCAGCCTCATACCCACTGCCATCCATCCCCCGGGGCCAGCTGTGCTGAGGGGTGAGCCCGCCTCCTGCACAGCCCATCTGCTGCCTCTGGCCGGGCTTCTGTCCCTCCTATAGCGATACAGTAACTTCTGTTTTAATAAAAGCAAGACCCTCCCTCTGGTGTACCCCCCAGCTAGCCAGCTTTTATAGCATAGGCCTGCTTCCATTCAGCCTTTTATCACCCATCTCTCACCTTTCTGGCCTCAATATGGATGTGTCCTATTCTCAAGCCTTCTCTAAGCTTGTAGTCTAAAGTTTCATCCAGCCTCCTGTTTTAAATATGTGCTTGGGACATACTCCAGCTCACATTTTTATGGGGTAAAAGTCAACAAGGAAAAAAAAATCACGGAAGATGCATTGTGTCAGAGGTATTCACCCTAGGAGAAAGGGAAGAGGATGTGGGGAGGAGAAAACTGACCTTGCCAAAGACTGCAGAGTGAGACCATGTCTCAAAAAAAAAATTAACCACTCCCAAGAGTACAGCTATCCAAGAGAAGAGTGTTGTGGGTGAAGGCAAAGCTGTAGAGTACTGACCTTTAATGCGGATGCAGGCCTGGCCAGTGCTAGGGCCAGACTGCGGCCAGCGGCTGTAGAAGTGAGTGAATAAGAAAGAGATGAGGTCAAAGTGGGAAGGGAAGGCGCAGACTAGGATGGAGGAGGCCAGTTTAAGAGCTGTGACTAGGGTTGTGGCTGCTCTTTCTCACCCTGGGTACCCTCTTCCCTTCTGCTTGTATCTAGAAAGCCCTCTCGGGTGCTCATAGGTGGGCTTTTTGGAGAGGTGGCTGGATAGTGGGTGGATGCTGGATTAGTCACTGAGCTGCCTGTGACGCCGGCAAGTGTAGCCTGCCTGGAAAAGGTAAGTCACTGTAGGTATAGCCTGCCTCCAGTGCTCCCTGCTGCTCATCTGCCATGAACTCTTCTGCCCTTCCACCCTGCCTTAGGGCCAGCCAGCTATGGACTGAAACTTCTTTTTTGTTTTGTTTTTTTGAGACACGGTCTCACTGTGCAGTTCAGGTTGGCCTTGCGTTCACTTTGTAACCCAGGCTGGTCTTGAACTCATAACAATCCTCCTGCCTCAGACTCCCAAGTGCTGGGATTACAGACGTGAGCCATCACGCCTGGTTTATGGACTGAAACTTCTACAAACTAAGTGCCAAAGTAAATCTCCCCTTTAACTTGTGAGAGTCAGAAAACAAAACAAAAGAAAATCTGCCTGGCATGGTGGTACATGCCAGTAATCAGGCCCTTGGAAGGCTGAGACAGAATCACAGTGTGATGAAGCTTAGTGTGGGCTACATAATGAGTTCACAACCAGCCTGAACTGCACAGTGAGACCCTGCTTCAAAAACACAAATGGGCTGGGGATTTAGCTCAGCGGCATAAGCACCTGCCTTGCAAGCAGGCGGTCGTGAGTTCGATGTCTGTATGGGGGGGGGGGGTGACGGAAAGGAAAACAAAAAAAATATACAAAAACACAAATGAAAAACCCAGTCTCAAAATCCCTAACTTGTGGGTGTTGGATATTGTGTCTCAGCAACAACTGGGGACATTGAATTCAAGGCCAGCCTGATCTCCATAGTGACACCCTATCTCAAAAAAACAGTTATAAGCCTCAGTGTTGGGAAGGGTATGTGAGATTAGCTGTCCTTTGCACTGCTATTGAGAACATTTATTATGTAATGAGCAACTCACCCTAGAGAAATTAATTAGAAATGATGACAAGGAATGTATACCAAGAAAACCTGCTAAATAACAAATGCTACCTACTTTGGAGGAAAATCCTAAATATCAAATGTTGGAGGAAAGATTAAGTATGTGAAGGTATGCAGGTAAAGCATGCTATATTAAGCAATCATTTAAAAATTTATTAGATTTTTTTGTGACATGGTCTGTAATGTGATTTTAAGGAAGAAGTTTCTTGCTTAGTGACAGTGCTTATCTAGCATGCATGAGCCTCTGAGTTTGACCAACAACCAAGAAAGAGAAGTTGTTGCTGAGGATCGGGGATTTATGTCTGGTAGAGCCTCACAGGAAGTCCTGGGTTTGGTGCTGGGGATTTAGCTCAGCGGCATAAGCACCTGCGTTGCAAGCAGGCGGTCATGAGTTGGATCCCCGGTTCGATAAAAAAAATCCTAGGAAGTCCTGGGTTTGATTTCTAGTACTGGGGTGTAAAAGTTAAATATAAAGCTGTTTGGTTTTTTTGAAACAGGTCAATTGTATTAAAAATACCTAGCTTCCAAAAAAAAACAGCTTCAGGAGGCTGAGGCAGGATCTCCACGATTTCAAGGCCAGCCTGCATTACATAAAATACCTAGCAATTACGCTGGAATGAAGTCGTCCAAAATATTGACAGTGTTTGTCTTGGGGGGTGAATTTGCGAGTGATTTTTAGAAAAATATGCCAAATTTTCCATAATGAGCTCATTACCTTTAAGAATAAAACCACTTGAGTGCTACAAGTCTGACACTCACTACTAGGCCTTTCCCCCACAACGTGTCCTGGTCCTTAGCACAGCCTGGAGGGCCCACCCTCACCTTTCAGCGTCTCCTGGACGTACTTCTCCAGGTAGTACTTGCGGAGCCGGTCGTTCTCCCGCGCCTGGTCGTCGATGCCGCTGGCCGTGATGTAGATGTCCACGTCCCCGTAGTGACTGCGGATCCAGTGCAGCAGCTTGCGTGCGCCCCAGGGCAGCACGGCCAGGCGCGTGGGCGAGCTCAGGCGAGTGATGTCCTGCAGGAACTGCACGTCCCGGTCTGCGTCGTAGCTGCTGCCCCTCTGCTGCTCGTGCATCACGAACCTGGTGGTGAAGTGATTCAGGGCATAGAAGTCGGCGGCGCCCTTGACCAGCCTGCGCTCGGCCTCGGTGAAGTGCGGCAGCGTGGAGTCCGACAGTCCCCGCCGGTTCCGGAAAGCCAGGTGCTCCCGCATGGCCCGCGGGTAGTCCCCGGTCCCGAAGAGCGGCTCTGCGAACCAGGCGATCTCGAACTGCAGGAAGCGCTCGGTAGCCTTCCAGTGCGAGTCCACGAAAGGGTTGGCAGGTTCCGCCCAGTCCGAGTGCAGAGCCAGGGACACTGCCCCGTGCTGGGACGCCCGGTAGCGCCGGTTGTAGAGGTGCCAGGCCAGCGTGTGGGCCATCAGCAGGTTGTGCGCCGCCTGGTAGGTGTCGTTCCCTGTGCGGTTGTAGATGTCGCTCAGCCGGTTGGGCTCATTGATGGTGATCCAGAGCCGCACCAAGTCCCCCAGCTCCCTGAAGCACAGCCCTGCGTAGTCCTGGAAGGCCTGAGCCGTGGATGGGTTAAGCCAACCTCCATTGTGCAGCAGCGGCCTGGGAAGGCCCAGGTGGGCGTGCGTCGGGTAGTACAGCGTGACCATTGGGGAGATGTTGAGCTTCAGGCCTTCGCTGACCACACACCTGTAGTACCTTAGAACCTGACGGTTAACCGAAGTCAGGTTGCCACTGGGAAGGACAGAGGCCCAGTCCAGAGCGAACCGGAAGTGGGTGACTTTCATTCGGGCCAGCATCTCCAGTTGCTTTTTGATGCTGATGAAATCTGTGCATTGAGCCTGCCGTGTTTTCAGCTTGACTCCTTTGACTCGGTACAGCCGTCTGTTGCCCGTGGCATTCCACACATAAAGGCTGGGGTCAGTGAACTGTGGAGAGGAAGCCATCAGCTCGGGCTGCGGAAAGAAGCACACTGGGTGAAGCTAATGCTGGCCGGGGAGGCTCTTCCTATGCATCCTTAGAGAAAAAGACATTGCCTCTCACTAGGAGACAGAAAATAAATGATGCACGTCCTTCCTGATGACCCCTGTGTTCCGGCTGCTCACCTGCTGAATTACCTTCCTTGTCAGCACTCAGAATCTCCAGGGAGGCCAGGAATCAGGGAAGGAACCACATCCAGGCCTCAGCTGGGAAAACAAGAAAAGACTGAGAAGTCATTTTCCAGCTCATTTGAACATCAAGCCCAGGATATATGGTGGGGTTGAGTGTGATTCTGTTCAAATGCATCTGGAAATTGGCTTGATACCCTCAGCTAAAAGCAATCATGAAGATGCATTCTAAGCCCTGTCATAAAGTACAGGCAAAGGTAAAATTGGACGAAGTCCCTGAGGTCAGCACTTAGGGTTAGAGCAGGCTCAGGGACCCTGAGACAGTTCCTACAAGAGGTTGGTTAATGGGGTGGGTATGGGTTAAGGCCACTTACATTTGCTAAAAAATTGCAACTTTTAACTCTTCCTATTTCAAAAGTCCAAGTAATGTCACATTTGCATCCAGTTTATCATGTCCCAGGAGACATAGCATTTATTCACCCAACAAAACAGCAATGCTGTCTCTACCCAAGGACAGTAAGATACCCCCCAAAACCCCTGAGGTTAACTATAACACAGAAAGCCCGCCTCCTGTCATGGTCTGACTCTCCTACCCTTGGGCTAGGCGGCTATTTAGCACTGAACTGTCGCAGCCCCCTCCAGGGTGTGCTGACTCCTGGTAACTCTAAAGCATCATATAAACAGAAGATAATCATGACTTGGATTTAGTTTTTCCTGATTGCAACTAATAGCCTTAGTAGGTCCCTTGAGTCTAAACTAAAATGAAGAAAAATATTTCCCAATTCGAGATTAATAAGAACAAGCAAAAGTTCTCTTATTTTAACATACTGTTTATCCTTATGACTCAATTTAAATGCGCTAGGAAACAATAATTAACCTTTGGTAAATCTTTTCCCTCTAATTGTTTTCTCATGTGTCATCTTTCATAGCCTAATTGCAAAACCATATTACTGCCCACTTGCCATCTGCCAGCCAGTTATCAAGGACATAAAACTGAGAAAACACTGATCATGTGATCACGAAGTTAAATCTGGATATAATTAATTGTTTGAGTAAAATGCTCATAGTTGATTTTAGTGTTTTAAAAAGCTCACGTCAGCATGGTATTGAAAGGGTATTTACAAAAAGCAATCTTGCTATGACACAAGGCACGATCAAATCAAATCTGTTTACTTTTCTTGGTTTTGTGTTTTTGAGACAGGGACTCACCATGTAACTCACATGAACTCACTATGTAACCCAGACTAGCCTCAGATTGTTGGGGATCCTCCTGCCTCAGCTTCCTGAGTGCTGGGGATTATAGGCATTTGCTACCATGCCTGGCTTTGTTTTACTTTTTAAAATCTCCAGAAAGGCAACCTGCTCAGGACCCTTTCTGTCTCTCTTTCAGACAGAAGCTTTCTTTCTCTCAATAAATATATTCTGCTCTTAACCTCCATTGTTCTAAAGTTCATTCTTTGATTTTAGAGAACACGAACTCATATCAGACATCTAGTAGGTTGGGAGTTTCTTTCCCCTATATCATTTGGAGGTCTTCCACCAAGATCACTGGATAAAGGTAAGTTTGCTTTTGTTTCATAGACTCAGAACCGGGACTTCTTGGGTAACAAATCTTTATGCACTTTGTGGTTTTGCTCTATAAAAGTCCCTAGAGAAGACAGAGTCCCAACCCACTTGGGACCCCTTCTGTCTCTCTCTTGGACAGAAGCTTCCAATAAATACATTCTGCTTTTAATAATTAAAAAAATTTTTAAACAAAAATCTCCATAAAGCATTAATTGTAGACAACTGGGTATAATGGATCTAGGTAAAGATGCTGTACCCCAAATCTAGCCCACCTCCCAGAATTTCTAACATTCTGTTGTGCACTAAAGGGACTCTGGGATCCTCCAAGAAATGGTGTTTTCCAGGCCTGGGGAAAGAAAAAAATGAGGTGATTCTGGGACATCTTGTGTCAGAAAACTAAGAGTGCTAAAAACTCAGGAGTACTTTCGGGTATGGTGGCATACACCTATAATTTCAGCACCCTGGAGGCTGAGGCAGGAGGATTGCTGGGAGTTCAAAGCCAGCCTAGGCTACATAGTGAGACATTCTAAGAAAAAAAAAGGCGAGGGCAGAGGGCTAGGGATTTAGCTCAGTGGCACAGTGCCTGCCTGGCAAACATGAGGAACTAAGTTCAATTCCTGTTACTGAAAAACAAAAAACAAACAAGAAATCCAGGAAATAAATGTGGAAGAAATAATATAATTAAAATTTCCTCTTTTTATGGCCTAGAAAGTAATAATGAAAGCAAATTTCATGAATATATATTAAAACTATTGGATTAATTGTTGAGAAACAGGATATTCTTATGGTCTCAAGGTATTATCACCAAATTACTGCTTTTTTTTCTTTTTATAAGACAGGGTCTTACTATGTTGTCCCAGCTGGTCTTAAGCTTGTGGGCTCAAGTCACTCTCTTGGACACATGCTACTGTGTGTTTAACTTAGGTAAAAATGTCTGCTGGCCTGGTGGTGCATGCCTGTGATCCTAGCACTCTGGGAGGCTGAGGCAGGAGAAACACAAGTTTGAGTCTTGCCTGGGTAATTTAGTAACTTAGTGAGACCCTGTCTCAAAATTTTAAAATAAAATGAAATTTAAAAAAAATTTTTAAATGTGGGTACAAAGGCTGGGGATTTAGATCAGCAGCATGAGCACCTGCGTGACAAGCATGAGGTCATGAGTTCAATCCCCAGTACCAAAAAAAAAAAAAAAAAAAAAAATGTGGGTACCTTTGTTGATAGTGTAATGACACAGAAAAGGTCTGTGCTCTTAATAGATACATCTGAAATATTTCAGGGTGTGGTACAATGAGGGACTCAGTCAGGCTTGGGGCTGGGGATTTAGCTCAGTGGCATAAGCGCCTGCCTTGCAAGCAGGCAGTCGTGAGTTCGATCCCTGGTACCAATAAAAAGGAAGAAGACCAAAAAAAAAAAAAAATTCAGGATTGATACAGGGAATATGTTTATTTTACAGGTTTGAAAATTTTCAAAATACAATGTTGGAGAAGAATAGAACACCAAGGGACTTGAAAAGAGATATATGGGAATAGACCTAGTAATATTTTAATTTAATTATTTTGGTTTTTTGAGACAAGGGCTGGCCTTGAACTTGTGGCAGTCCTCCTGCCTCAGTCTCCCAAGTACTGGGATTATAAGCATGCACCACTACATCCAGTTTGGGATCTAGTAATATTTTTAAGTGTTACACTATAGTACTTTCACTTTGCCAGTCTCCTTTAGAGAAGCCATCCAGTCTTCTGTCTACTCAGCATCTAGAAATGCAACCTTTGGCTAAGGTTACTTTTTAAATTTTTCTTTATTATTATTTTAAAATTTTTTAAAATTATTATTATTATTATTATTTTTTGAGACAGGGTCTCTATGCAGTCTTGGTTAACCTTGAACTCACTATGTAGCCCAGGCTGGTCTCAAAATTGTGGTGATCCTTCTGCCTCAGCTTTCTGAGTACTGGTATTATAGGCCTGCACCAGCATATCTAGCTGGTTTTTCCAAGAGCAATCCCGTATTCCTTGGCAAACTATTCATACTCATTCTTAGTCCAAGTGGCTCAACAGAGGCTGACTTCTCCCGGGGCCTGGTGGTGCAGTGCCCAGCACATGAACCCGAGACCCAGGAGGGGCGGCCTCTTGTCCTCCTCCATGCATGCGTTCTGGCCCACGACAGCATCTCAGCCAGCATTATCTTTCCTCCCTTTCCCCCCAGCTCCCCTCACAGCCTCGGGATAACCATGGTACCGGTATCTCTTGGCTGTCACTGTGTCAGTGTCACAGGACAGCGCGCACTCTCCCCAATAGTGGTTCATTAGAAGGCGCCCCTTACCTTAAGAACAGACTCGGTGACACCCCAGGAGAAGTCGCAGGGAAACTGACCCTGCATGTCGGGTGTGGACTCCTTCAAAGGAAAACCATTCTCTTGTATGAGCTGTTGATAGTAACGTGCTGAGGACTTGGGTTTCCTTTCTTTGTGTTTACTGTCAAAATCCACATAGAACAGCCCTCGGCGGGTGGTGTGAGCGTCCTGCCATTCAAAGCCGTCCAGGAGCGACCAGGCGGTGTAACCGAACACTTGTACTTCATCAGATCTGATGGCTGTGGAGAGAAGAAAGCAGACACACTCTAAGGGCTGAGCACTCAGCTCACGCCTGCCGCTTTGGTGACACACCAGGGACGGTACTGTGAAGCCAACCCTTTTCCCACTTGGCAGGACTCACAGGAAACCCATGTCTATACTTCAAAAATGGCACTTAGTTGAATCCAGAGGCTACTCCCTTCCCTAATACAAATACTGGTTGACACGGTTAAAGTTCAAATTCAAAATATTCCTGCAATATAATTAAGAAAAATAAGGGCATACAGAAAATAGAACTAGAAACATATACACTAAAAATATACAGCTCAGGCTGGGCATGGTAGCAGACACTTTTTTTTTTTGTCTTTTTCCTTTTTATTGGTACCAGGGATCGAACTCATGACTGCCTGCTTGTAAGGCAGGCACTTATGCCACTGAGCTAAACTCCCAGCCCCTGGCAGCAGACACTTGTAATCCCAGCACTTGAGAGGCTGAGGCAGGAGGATTGCTGAAAGTTCAATGCCAGCCTGGGCTACAATAGTGAGAGCCTGTCTCAAAAAAAAAAAAAAAAATCAGTCCTTAGAATTAACATAAGTGAATGTGGCTTTAAGGAGGCAAAAGAGGCAAAGTGATATAAGAGAATCAAAGTAGCAGGAGCCCTTGCCGTGCCCTCTGGTGTTTTAGAAAAGGTGCCAGAGCCATGGTTTTAGCCTGTTTGCTCATCGGTAGATGGAAGATATTGGACAAAATGATCTTTAAGGACTGTTTCATCTTTAAAACTCTCATTCAATGTGTAGAAACTGGGTAAAAATAAAATATGATGAATGACAGCAGCAGAAAAAGGAACAAATACTCAAATTAATCCTAGGTTTTTTTTTTTTCTTTCCTGTCTTTTTAAGGCAGGGTTTCACTGCAGTTCAGGCCAGCCTTAAACTTACAAGGCATTCTCCTGCCTCAGCCTCCATGAGCCACCATGCCTGGCCTCTGGTTCATTTATCTTAAAAGCTTTTATGTCTCCTAGAAATGCCACGGTTTTTTTTACTGGGGGGGTGAGGTGGTGGTTTATCACTGACATTCCTTTCCGGCAAGGTGGGAAATCCTCGGGCAGCGGTTCCCACAGCTCAGTGTGCTACATCCGGCCTGGCTCCAACCCTTGGCGGGTGGACAGCCACGCGGAGCCCGGCGCTCAGCCCGACCCAGGCCAGTGGGTGGCGCCCTGGGCTCCCAGGCGCCCAGCGGAGCGCACGTGGCCCAATGCAGGCCAGCCATGTCCCAGGTGGATCCTTCTGGGAATTAAGGCTGAATTGCTCTCCCGCAGAAGGGGAGTGTCCTTGAGACTTGGGAGCCTATGGGAAGATCCCAGGGAATTAAGTCCTGCAGGCTGGTAGGGCGCCTTTGTTCCCAGCAGCCACCTGCAGGTGTCATTGCTTGGGTGGAGGAAAAGGAATCAGGTGGAGATGTAGGGATGTCAAGAAATCTTCAGGAGCAATAGAAACGACTCAGCTCTGCCTTTAGGACTTGCGTCACTCAGTCATGGTATGGACTCAAAGGATTAGAATTTCAAGAAGCATCTTAAAGTACTCATGATAAGGAACTTTAAACATATCTGCGAATGTGTGTGTGTTGCTGGGGACTGAACCCACGGCCTTCACTGAACTACACCCCCAGCCCTTTTTTATTTTTTATCTTGAGACAGGGTCTTGCTAGATCACTAAGTCGCCCGGGCTGGCTTCCAATTTGCAATCTTCCTGCCTCCACCTTCCAGAGCGCTGGGATTCCCGGTGCGCACCACCAGCCCCTGCCCAAAGGTGACTTTCAGTGCCTGTGAAGATTCACTCTCCTTCCAAGTGTCACGCACAACCAACCTTGCAGAACCTGGTTGAGGAAGTTCTTCATCATGTAGATGGCCGTGGTGTCCTCCGTGGTCACGTGGCTGTCGGTGAACCAGCCGTTCTCGGCAATCAGGATTCGGGGGTTGCCGTACTCCAGCTTGATCCAGTTCAGCACTTGTCTCAGATTGAGGGACACATTCTGCCCCATTTTAGGCACGGTGCTCGGCGGCTTGAAGTTGTTGGGGCCGAAGGAGAAGGCGAAGAAGTCGGCCGTGCCCCGCACCAGGCGCTGCTCGGCGGCCGAGAAGCGCGGCAGCGCGGCGGGCAGCTCGTCCCGCAGGCCGGCCGGGTAGTCCCCGCGCCCGTGGATCGGGCCTGCGAACCAGCCGAGCACGGCCGCCAGGGAGCGCTGGCACCGCTGCACGTCGGCCGCCGCGTCGGGCCGCGCGGGCTCGATCCAGTGCGAGCCCAGCGTGATGGACAGCCAGCCGCGCTGGGCCGGCCGGAAGTTGCGGTTGTAGGTGTGCCAGACCTTGGCGTGGGCCTGGGGAGAAGAGAACAGCGTCACTGACCCGCCCGTGCTCGCCGGGGGAGCTTCTGGGGAGGGTGGACTGGCTTGTTTGCTTTTTTTGCATTTTGAGGTAGGGCCTTGCTAAGCTATCCAGGCTGGACCCAAACTTTTGATGTTAGGGCCTCCGATTCCCAGGCCCGTGCCACCACTCCTGGCTTCATGGACAAAATCAAGGAAGCTGGAGCTGCACACGGTGGCCCACGCCTATAATCCCAACACTTGGGAGGCTGAGGCAGGAGGATCGATGTGAGTTTGAGGTTAACCTGGGCTACACTGTGAGACTCTGTCCCAGAAAACAAATAACAAAACAAAATTAGTGAAGCATAAAGTGAAGTAGGAGCCCCCTATGGACGTGTCCAGTTCTTCCAAACTAGCCTTCTCCTGGAGGCTCTAAGCCAGGTTCTGTCTGACTTCTCCCTGCCTGGCTCCCTTATGGGCCCTCCTGGGGCAGGGGCCAGGTGGTGTGGACACAGGGTTTCCTCTCGCTCAGAAAGAGACAGGGCAGGATGGCTCACTGGTCTGCACCTCTCCCGGTGGGCCTGACTAGGAAGTCTCTGGATCCTGTGACCGGTCTGAGGAAGCAACCGGCGGGGCTCTTGAGAGGGTTGAACGAGTTCACTTGAGTGGCTTTGAGACAGTGTCTGGCCGGGAGCAGCGCCACCTGAGTCTTAGCTGTGTTCTGATTACCGTGGAAGGTGGCAGCGGAGCCCAGAGCAGGAACTGGGTGGAGAGCATGGGCGGGCCTGAGTCATGCCCTCTCATGCTCATTGGAAGTCAAGGGCGGTCACCCTGATGTCCTTTGTGAGGCAGTTGTCCAAATTGGGCTACCGTGCACACAGTAGGCATACTGAGGTCCCTGAAACTGTGCCCATGGACTTTTCTTTCTGTACTTGGAATAAACCTAGGGCTACTGAGCTATACCATCAGCCCTTTTTATTTTTTGAGTCAGGGTTTTGCCAAATGGCTGGCCCCAAGCTTTTGATCCCCCTGCCTCAGCCTTGTGAGTAGCTGGGACTACAGCAGCTGTGCATCTGGCTTTGAGCAATGAATTCTAACCCAGTAGGTCCTGGGGATCTGAAAACATTCCACGAATCTGGTGAAGGCGGGTAAAGTGGCCACTGGTGAAGGCGGGTAAAGTGGCCACTGATGTAGGGGCTGAGGACCCCGAAATTGGTGCCACCCTGCTTTATGCAGGAAAGGCTAATTTCAGTCATCCCCGAGATTTTTTTGGAATAGTAGTGGCCTTATATTGCCTTTGTCTGTCTGTCTATCCTTAACTCAGTTCTCATTGGCAGCTCCCAGAGTCGTTTAGTGCCCCAGTGTCCCCAAGGATCCTACGCGTGCTTCCCTCGAAGAGGAGTTTCAGTTAGGCCTCTCTAACTTGCCTGCACCTGGGGTTCTGGCTGCCAAAGAGTCACTGAGGCTCAGGCCTCTCTCTGGGCTTTTCTGGGGGGCTAGAATACATTGGAAAGTCCCAAGAGCTGCTTTGTTTGTTTGAGATGGGGTCTTGCTATGTAGCCCAGGCTGGCCTCAAATGCGTGGCTATCCTCCTGCCTCAGCCTCCTGAGTGTTGGGTCAAAAGTCTCTCTTTATTCCTTTCACTCTCCCCTCTCTCCTTCTCTCCTTTCTTTTCCTTTTTTTCTGATTCAAAACAAAAGCAATCATGCATTATCTGGACCCACAGGGGGCACGCTTTGCTTTATTCTAATGGTCACGTGATCCCCTGATGCCTTTAGTGTTTTCAGCTATAGAGGACACTGGGATTACAGCTCTTCAAGATCATGTGCCTGCAGCCGTGAACCCAGGATGAGCTGAGCCACAGAGCTGCTGCCCAGCAAAGGAGGTGCTGTCAGACACCACAGGGAGCAGGAGGTGGAACCAGGATCTGGGTACTAGCTCAGGCCACATAGGAATTCACCAGCCCACGGGGCAGGTGAGTTTCTTCAAAACAGATGTCCCATTGCATATCTCAGAGTCCATGGAGCTGAGCTGCAGTAGTCTTGCTCAATGAGCATTGGGATGAGAGGAGTGAAGCTTAGGCAGCCAGGGGCACTAAGTCTGCACACCTGGATAGGTGCATGCAGGTCTCGTTGCAGCCCAAGGTGACCTTCGTGCTCCCCCATCTCTTTCACCTTTGCTGCTATTTGCACACCTATCCAGGGATCTAAGGTTATCTCTGCTCTGGGCCAAGACAGCACTGCATTCTCTGCAGAGATATGGTGGGGCTCAGGCCCATGAGGTGTTTACGGTTATGACTCGGTCCTGTTTGCCAAGTACCAGAGTAAAAGGTTTTGCTCTGAGACAGTGAGTTTGACACAAATCGTGAGCAAACAGGGGTAGCTGCAGGGCCTCGAGGTGATGCTCATAAAGAAGGTCCGCGGGGACACTAGAATAGGGTTAATAGGGAACCTTACATGACAACTGTCCTTCACTTTTCCAAGGTCCTCTCTGTCTCGCACAAGGCTGTGGTTGGAGTGGTTGGTTTAGGGGGCGCCAAAGTTCATTCTCTACAGTCAGTAGCTCAACCAGGTAGGGAGAGGCTCTTTCCTCTAGAGGCAGCGCCCAGGGCCTGCTGTCACTGAGACAGCAGGGCGCCTAATATCTCATTCCATCCCCTGCAGGCAATGATGTGCGCCTGCCTTTGATATCCCTGGAAGTCAGGACTCAGATAAACCCTGCGCATGATAGGAAGCAAATAAGATAGCAGTCCAGTGCAGGAGCAGAGAAGAGGAGGCAGGGGACAGAGACACATGAGCAGGCCTGACGCATCATCCCGGGACATCTGTCATTTGCCAGAAGCTATGTTTTCAAATTTATGATTCGGGCCAAAGTATCTTCTTTGAATTGCAAACTTGTCTGATGTTAAAGCTATTTAATAAAGCATTAAATACATTAAAGAACATTAGGGGCTGGGAATTTAGCTCAGTGGCATAAGCACCTGCCTTGCAAGCAGTCGTGAGTTTGATCCCCGGTACCGATAAAAAAAAAAAAAAACATTTATTTTATCTGGTTTTTTTGGTACTGGGGATCGAACTCATAACCTCGCACACTTGCAAAGCAAGCGCTTATGCCGCTGAGCTAAAACTCCAGCCCTAGAATATTTATTTTAAAACTCCACATCCCAACATCAAATGCGGGAAAAATGTGTTTCCTCTATAGTCAGGAATGAGACAAGGATGTCCACTAGCACCACTCCTGTTCAAGATGGGACTTGAAATTTTAGTCAGATAGATTAGGCAAGAGAAATGAAGAGGATTCAAATAGGAAAGAAGTCAAATTATCTGATTTTACAGCTAAAATAATCCTATACTTACAAGACCCTACAGACTCCACCAAAAGACTTTTAGAGCTGATAAATTCAACAAAGTAGCAAGACACAGAATCATGATTATAAAAGTCATTAACTGTCTGTACACGAGTCCTGAACAGGGTGAGAAAGAAATCAGGAGGACAGGGGCTGGAGGTTTAGCTCAGCGTTATAAGTGCCTGCCTTGCAAGCAGGCAGTCGTGAGTTTGATCCCCGGTACCGATAAAAAGGAAGAAGACAAAAAAAAAAAAAAAATCAGGAAGACAATCCATTCACAATAGCTTAAAACACACCTAGGAACCAGCTTAACCAAGGAGTTGGAAGACTTCTACAATAAAAGGTATAGAATGCCAATGAAAGAAATTGAAGGAGACACTAGAAAACAGAAATCCTTGTCATGTTCATGGATCGGCAGAATTACTATTGTTAAAGTGGCCATATTAACCAAAAGTGATCTACAGATTCAGTGCAATCCCCATCAAAATTCCAGTGACAGCTGAGTTTGAGCCTGGCCTGAACTACCAGCAATATTCTGTCTCAAAACAATGAGAAGAAGAAACTTCCTATGACACTCTTTTTTTTCTGGTACAGGGGGTCATACTCATGACTTTGTGCTAGCCAGGCAGGCACTGTGTGCTGGGCTACATCCCTGGCCCCTTCTATGACATTCTGGCAGAATTAGAAAAGAAAAATCCTAAAATTTATATGAAGATACAGAAGAACCAGCTAAGCAAAAAAAGCAAGGCTGAAACATCATAATACTTAATTTCAAATTATACCACAAAGTTATAGTAATAAAATCAGTGTGGTACTGGTACAACAAACAGTATGGTACTGGCACAAAAAGACATATAGTTCCTTAGAGTAGAATATAAACTCAATGCAACTACAATCATCTGATTCTTTGCAGGCCAAAAAAATATACTGGAAAAAAAATTTTTTTAAATCTTTTTGAGACAGGGTTTCATGTAGTTCTGGTTGGTCTTGAAATTACTGTTACCTAGGTTGTCCTGGAATTTGTGATGATTCTTCTGCCTCAGCTTCCTGAATGTTGGGATTATAGGCCACCACATCCAGTTTCTCCTGCTTTTAAAACCAGTATAATTTTCCCTACAGGACCATTCTTGAAGGCCAGTTAGCCAGAAACAGAGCCATCAGTGTTTTGCAACAGATGGTCAAAGAACACTCACACTCATGGGCAAAATGTTTGGAAAACAACTTGGCCTTTTTTTTTTCTTTTTGAAACAGGGTTTCACTGTGCAGTTCAGACTGGCCTTGAACTCACTTTGTAGCCTAGGCTGGCCTTGATCACACAGAGATCCTCCTGCCTCAGCCTCCCAAGTGCTGGGATTACAGGCACACACCACCATGCCCAGCACTTTGGAAATATTTAAAACAATTTTTAAAATAAGTAATGTTCTCCTGGGATCATCAAAATGAAATAATTCAAATAAACTATAAGCTGCATGCCCAAAGGGAGCTATTTCAATATTGCTTATGACAGAGAAAAACAATGAAATAAAATAAGCTAATTTCTATTAAAAGGGAGGGGTGAAACCAGGTGTGGTGGCATATGCCTGTAATCCCTGCGAGTTCAAGACCAGCCTAAACTGCATAATGAAGCCTTGTCTCAAAAAAAGAAAAAAAGGGGCTAAGGGTTTAGCTC